GAACTGCACCCTAATCACTGCGCCACCTCGGCTCTTTACTTTCCTGGGCTCCAAGATCATTGCAGATGGGGACTGCAGCCAAGAAATTAAAAGGCGCTTGCTGCTGAGGAGGAAAGCTATGGCAAATCTAGACAGCATACTAAAAAGCAGAGACATCACCCTGCCAATAAAAGTGTGTATAGTCAAGGCTATGGTTTTCCCAGTTGCAATGTATGGCTGTGAAAGTTGAACCATAAGAAAGGCTGAGCGCCAAAGAATGGAGGTCTTTGAACTATGGTGCTGGAGAAGACTCCTGTGAGTCCCTTGGACTGCAAGGCAGTCAAACTGGTCAGTCCTACAGGAGATCAACCCAGAGCCTGAAGATTAAACTCAAGTACTTTGGCCACCTAATGAGAAGGAAGGACTCACTGGAAAAGAGCCTAATGCTGGGAAAGATTGAGGGCAAAAGAAGGGATGACAGAATGAGGTGCCTGGATGGAGTCACTGAAGCAGTTGGCATGAGCTTAAATGGAGTCTGGGGGATAGTAGAGGGCAGGAAGGCCTGGAGGAACGTTGTCCATGGGGCCGCGATGGGTTGGTCATGATTTTGCAACTAACAGCAACAACTACTACCACATGACCTCCATAATTTGCACAGGTTTGCAGCCTTCTGGCAACATTTCCCATTAGTTATTACTAAGTTTCTGGATGATTTTCCATGCTAATTTATGCAAGTTATTTCATAGAACTTAGGATGCCCAAATCTGACTCATTTGGGAAGGATCAGAGCTGGGTCATGAACCGTACTTGTGTAAATTTTCTCAGTAGATGTAACACCTGCAATTCCAGTTGGCATTACTTGATCTATAGGGGAAATGTAGCCTCATCCGCAAAGGGTTTGAATCTCAGCCATTCAGTTTACATTTAACCAATCACATCTTTGCTTTACCTGGATTTAATTTCAATTTTGGTCGTTTCAGTCTGTTAATTAACTTAGGTAACAAGAGTTGGTTGATAAGTAGTAGTAGAAACAATATCATCAACATATCCCTGGAACCCTACACCAAAGCTCCAAATGACCTTTTCTAATCATTTTATGTAGCTATTGAAGACCATAACAGATAACACTCTTTGAGACCCTAGTCTCTTTCTGCAGAAAGGACTAGAACCACTGCAAAGACAGTGCAGAATAATCCCATTGTTGAGAGAATCTGGGAGAACCACTAGGGCAGTATGATTTAGTTTTTGTTATGGATCAAACACTAAGGTGTTTATAACAGTCTCAATTCAATTTCTTGGCTGAAAGTTTGATTGAAATGCATGTATTTTGTAGGTCAAGATAAAGTTTTGTTGTTAAGAGAGGATTTTTGTTTTGTTCTTTTGGTGCCTTCGAGTCAGTGTTGACTCCTGGAAACAGCAATCCTTGCTGTTTCTTGGCAAGATTTTTTGGGGAAATGGTGCCATGTCCTCCTTCCAGGTAGGCTACACTCCATGCCTGATCTGAGGGAGAACCATTCTTTTATGCATGTTCATTTAAGACTTGATGATCAAAATAAATTCATTGGAACCTTCTGATCTTTAATTCTCTTGCACAACAAAGCCTTAAGAAAATTACAGACATTTTATTGCCTTGCTTTGAAGATGGTCTGCAGTAGGCTTGACATAAAAATTGAGTCTGGCCAAGATTGATGTTCTTAGCATTATAAGCTTTGATTTGGGATGAAAGGATTTATTCAGGTCAGGAATGTTAGAATAATATTTAAGAGAATCTGTATTCTAATAACAGCTTAGTCAAAGGGAAGCACTGCCTGAAGCATTGGCCAGTTGTTTAGTTTCATCCAGCAGTTAGCACAAAGTTCTTGTTTCAATTAAAAGGTAAAGCTGACATATCAACCTGGTTACTAATATGAAATTCTAGAGGAGGAATTTTTTTTTAGATGGAAAAGAGCCTCCTTGGACTATACTCTTAAGGCCACATTTGCACAACATGTTAAACCACTCCGGCTAGTTAATGTGAATGCATATACTAAGTTCTTACCTTAATAATTACATCAGGTTAATTGAAATGCACCACTTCTCTGTTGTTAATTGTAATACAAAAACACAGGATAGTCACCATGTCTGATTAATAGTACTCAGAATGTTAAAGCATGGCCATTTGTTGGTTTGTAGATGCTTTTGCACCACACCTTTATCTACTCTAATTTATGTAAATGTATAGTTCTTTTTAGTAGGAAGTATGACTTTTGAAGATGGAATGTCGATCACTTCTGGTTCACGGGGAACCCCTGGTTTATTAGTTGAGTGCAGATTTTAGTTAGTGTTAATGAGGAATGATGCTCATCCATGTTTGCCTAATCACAGGGAGTCATCCACCAAAGCTGAGCTGTGAATGGAACAGGGGAAATGAGATACAGCATGTGTTCTCTAGTTTAATGCAGTGTACAAATTGTATGCCATTTATATGCATGCTCCAGGGACTTGGAGATGCCATGTTATTTTCATTGCATATGTTCTTCAGTGAGACTGGAAGTTGGCAGACAAGAATTTGGCAATCTGGTAGTTCTTGAGCTCATAAATATTAAAAGGGAAAGATGGATGGGAGCAGAACACAAATACCAAGCAAGACTGAAGGCATTAATTGGTATGATTAACTGGAGCCAGCCAGTCAGGCTCTCCTATTAGCTCCTCCAGTCTCTGTCCTCTTTCCACAAGTACTATTCTCTTCCATCCTCTTCACTGTTGAAGGATGCTGAGATAGTCAGTGCATGAAGACGGAATAATTTTCCTCCCACTCAAATTATCTTGCCAGTGAAGCCGAAAGACAGACAGGCACTGAAGGCCTGTAACAGGAGCTTTGTTAGAATGAAAATGTGAGATTCATTCTGGAAATTTATACCAGAATTGATTGAAGAATCAGTTGGCTTGCAAAATTCTTCTGGAAACAAATGGTAGTGGTGACTAATAGATATTTAAATGTTTAGACACCACTCAAAACCCAAGTGCATGGGCTCATTCCATATTTCCTTTTTGCCAAATTCATCAGCTCTGGGCAGTTGATGCCAAACGCCAGTGATGTGCTTTCTAAGTTGAGTACAATTCACAAATTGCTTACTTTTATTTTATGTGTTCATAGAGAACTAAGTCCATTGGATTATATCATTTACTTACAAAGTAAGATATAAATTATATTATAAACTATATTACATAAAGTATAATATCATGTATAAATACATAAAGTATAATATATTTAGATTATATACTATATCATATAAAGTAAGATATAAATTATATTCTAAAGCAAATGACATTCTAGGTTGCCTTAACACAGGGATAGAATCAAGGTCACGTGAAGTATTAGTTCCATTTTATAAAGCCTGAGACTATACTTGGAATACTACATCAAGTGTTGGTCACCATATTATAAAAAAGATCTTGAAACTCTGGAAAGGGTGCAGAAAAAAGCAACAACATGGTTAGGGGACTGGAGGCTAAAACATGAACAGTTACAGGAATTAAATATGTCTAGTGAAAAGAAGTTATAGGGGTAACATGATAGCAGTGTCCCAATATTTGAAAAGCTGCCACAAGGAAAAGGACATCAACTTTTATTTTCTAAAGTACCAGAAGGCAAGACAAGAAACAATGAATGGAAACCAATTAAGGAAAAAAGCAACCTAGAAACAAGGAAAAATTTCCTCACACTATGAACAATTAACCAGTGGAATGGCTTACCTTCAGAAGTTATGGGTGCTCCATCACTGGAGGCTTTTAAGAAAAGCTTGGATAGCCACTTACCTAGAATGGTATAGGGTGTCCTGCTTGATCATGAGGTTGGACTAGAAGACCTCCAAGGCCCCTTCCAACCTTTATTCTGTTGAGATAAACACTTATTGGAGCTTTTGCTCATGAAAGGAGATTTGTCTAAATTAGGGAGTTGCATTGCACTGAGAAGTTGAATTTTCAATCACTTTCCTTAGCCTACTGTTGCCGAGACCCACATTTATCAGTCAATATTTGTTGGCAATCTGAAGGTCACAAAGGAATAGGCCCTAGGAAGTGGTTGGAGGCAGCTTGTAAGTAGCCATCCCTGATCTAAATAATTTGCTGGACAAAAACTCCCAAAATCTATTCAATGGCTGTGTTGCCTGTAGGAGTTGGGAACTTGTTTCAAATAACAGAGAACTTAGAAGGTAACACAAGAGACACACTTTATTTAACTAAGTTTCCTCCGGCCATTACTAGTCTTCCCCATAGCTACAATTGGAGATAGCTCTGTACCATTCTACAGACCTGTTTTACTTTTTTCTATAGCATTCCATTACCTATAGTATTGTTGCTTTTTTGTGGCTAATAAATGATTCTGAACTGTCAAATTCTTAAACCAACTATTTCTGTGCCCATTCTGTTCTGTATAACATTTTACAACTTGTGTTCCAACAGCGATGGAACTACTGTAAGTACAGCTTTCATACTGTACGTACTGCCTTCCCTTCTGTTTTCTGCCATGGTTGACGTGATCCTATATTAAAAAATCAGGTTCTTTAACAAAGTAATCTATCATCCAGTTACCAAATGTCCTTTTAAGAATCCTCCCTGCTCTGTGTAATTATTCCCTGCTTCATGGTTGTTTCTTCTATTGTTTTCACAATGATCCTTTATCTTGCTTGGCCACAACATAAGTCTCTTGAACGAAGTATGGTTCAAGTCCTTACTTTACCTTACACTGTTCATTCTCTTACAGATATGACAAAAGGGAAGACCTCAAACCGGGCGACCCACTTATGTTCTCATATACACATGTACTTATGGAGATGAATTCAACTCAACTGTCACATTACAAGACAACTCACAAAGTCCTTGCGCATATTCCTGGCACCAGTGGAATTGGATTGAATTTTACTGCACTGCCTCCTATTACTTTAAATTTGAAATCCAAACTAGTATTGTTGGAAAAGCTCCCCATTTCTTTTGGAAAATAAATTTTAACAAGTTTGAAAGAGTTTTTGCTAGTGTTATGTTGCACTAATTAAAACCTTGACATGCCAATGAAAGATCAATACTATTTGATCCTATTCATTTCACTTACGTGAAAAACTTCCATATAGTATATACTGCATATAATGCCAACTACATTTCAATGCAAAGTACATACATTCAAGACATATTTTCATATAATTACATAGGAAGCATACTAAATAGTTGTTTTTATGTAACACTATTATGTGTGTGGTTTAATGTTTTCACATTGTTTTCTACCATGTGGAAAAATAGCATAATGTGCTATTTTGGGCCACAGTATAAAATGTTTATGTTGTCAATAAGCAACAAAAATCTTATACACCTAAACATGAATGTTATTTGGATGAACAAAATCTGGAAATAAATGGATTGCTATTTGTTTTTATCTGTTGGGCAGTTTTGCTGACAGTATTTGCATATAAGACAAGGCCCATTTTGTCATCCTGATAACATTTCTTAATCAGGTTTTGTCAGTTATCAGCGATCTAGTAAACATAAAACAGAGTTATGGGAAAGTCAAGCTGGCCTTAAAAGTGTTAAGAGACAGCCAAGCATAAATCAAGAAAAATAATACTGGATGTCAAAAAAAATGTAATTTGTTTTAATTTCGTACAGGTTTTTAAGTGGTAACTTCTGAATAAATATAGAGCTAGATTATTTAAGTCAGCTATACTGATTGTTCTCAGTGTCCAGATGAGGCAATGGGTTAAAGTATAATTGTGGGATGATCCACAACTTGTAATTGAAAATATGCAAGAAAATATCTTACATAACTCTTAAAATCATTCATTTTTAATCAGTGTACCTTGGCACAGTAGAGTGCAAATTGACTTAGATGCAAGAAATACCATCCTGTAAAACTGGTTTAACTACGCTGATGTGTTCTCTTGTATGCTATTGTACAACTTTCATAAATTTTGTTGTTCTTTTACATCAAAGAAAACGACGTCTTCCTTGATGCACAACTTATCTATTCACAGAAGCTGCTATTATTCAGAAGGGAGACATTAACTTCTCACAAAAGCCTATGTTTAAAACCTGCAAAACTTATTGGGTAGTCTTGTTTTGTGCAACAGGCCCTGCTAAAAGTCAGTTCTTTAAAATACTGCTTGGTTCTTCTGGAAGAAAGTACTACCCTTTCTGTAATTTCCTCCAGGCAGTTATTTAATGTGAATTCTGGGGTTCCTGATGTCTTATATGTATAATCAACTATGGTATAGTCTTGTGGCACCTTAAAAACAAATACATGTTCATTATGAAGGCTACTGCAAAAAAACATCCACAGAAGTGGATGGATTATAATAAATGGATTGCCATTCTGTAAAATAACACAAAATTGGGGGGGTTTTGGAAGAGAAAACCAGTATATTTCTATGATAATTATGGTCATAGCATAGTTAAAACTGGTACTCAAAGAAATTATACCCGTGAAATGTTAAATAAATGACTAGATATAGGGAATCTATCTTCTAGAATTATAATCTATCTTCTAGAATTATATTTTAGGCCTTAAATGTCACCTTAAGGCATATGAAATAAATTGACGTTTATTTCCTATTACTGAAAATTATTTTTAGCCAGGAGTGTTAAAACCATAAGGTTCGATGCAGTATTCTGACCCCAATTTAAGATTAATGTTTCAGAATATTTAGTTGCCTACACTAGTTGAAGTATGTGAAAGTATTGTTTTCTTTATTATTACATTTGAGCTGTGAAGAGTTAGCTGAACTCTATCAGAGCAACCCAACATATCTTGTTACAAAGAATGAACTATTTGTGGCCATGAGTGCTTGTTACTCAATAGCTTTCCACATTTTCAGTTTTCTTTTAACCAGCCAAAATGTGAAACTGTGTAGCAAATGTAATTTCATTTGTTAATTAACCATGTGTGACCCACTCATTATATAAATAAGCACATGCATTCTATTAACCTATATCCACACATTTGTGGCTACCACTTTTTGTACCGAATTGCTGTCAAGTTCATACCACTTTCAGTGTCATCACCCCACTGCTGCCCACAATTCTGACAATTTTAACATGGTCTGGTTTTATCGTAAATTCATTAGAGAAATATATATAGTTACATCGAGTAAGATTTATTGTATGTGGTCACTTTTTTAAAAAAGCCCAATATTGTTCTTGTTGAAAATATTTCAATTATATTTGGGCCATACTGCATCATTACATCAGGCATCTCACTGTATGGGAGACAGAAATACTACAAGGAAATGTTTGATTGAAAGAACTGTAGAAACCTGCCTTCTAATTCTTATTCAAAAAGTTATATCCAGATTATGCCCATACACTCCAGAATCACTGAGTCCCCCATTGTATTCTAAGGGGAGGAGGGGAGAATGGCTGATGTAGACTCATTCTCTAAAAATTGCAAATAAGATGTTTAATTTCAGAAACTGAATCCATCATTTATAAATACACCAAAACATAATAAATGCAAAAATTAGCCAGAGGTACAGTACAGTATTTTAACAAAACTACATCTCTCCTAAAAGCTGTAGTTAATTTCCCAAAGAATTTTATCAATGCATTGGAGGGATGAGGAGCGCGGGGAAAATATTATTTTAAAATATGGACAGCAAATGCAAATGCTGGCTATTCTCACCTGCTGTCTGAGGATTATTAAAATTTTACAATATCCTACTTTGCTGATAGACACTATCAATTACGGTCAGTTCTACTATATAACATTCTATGCAGGACTCCTGTCTATGGGCTGTGCAAATGCTTCAGGTGCATGTGAAGTGCCTGTGCATGCAAGGACAATCGGATGCAAGTCCTGCGTATTCTGAAGCACCTTTTCCAAAGTATTTGCACAATCTTAGAAAGGATATTCACTGAAAATCAACTTCGAGTAACAGAAATAATGGAAGAATACCATATATAATTTTCAGTTACATGGGAAACCTCAACTACATTTTCCCAAGAAGTAATGTTTAATTCATTCAATTGTAAAAGACTTGGCATGATGCCTTTTCTTTATATTTTTATCTTTCAATGCACTGCATTAAATAACAAACATTAATTGGAAAATTTTGAAAATAAACACCCCAAAACCTTATAAATACTCAAGCTCTAATTCAGTTACAGTGTAAAAAAAACCTGAATAAAGACCATGAATGGCAAATTTATAGATTACTGTATAACTGGTGTTTCTTAATAATTCTAAGTTTAGTCAAATACTAATTCAACCGCCATCTTTAGTACATACATAGTTGAACATAAGCACATTAAGCCTGCAGTTAAAACCTGCTAAATAAGAAGATGGCTTCATTTCCACCTTTATATACAGTTTTTTTTCTGCAATTAAAGCAATGTTCAGCTAATATACAGTACCTGGTTTCTGTTTTACATAATTCAATAAAAAGCTACATAATAGAAGTTTTTACATCCGTTTTGCCATTCTATTCAAAATGTTTTAAAATTTCATTTACAATATTCAATCAAAAGCTACATTTTTGTAATAGTTGGGACGAAGACAAGGCTAAATCTAATAGGATTTTTTTTAAAAAAAGAAAATGTATATACACTATATCTGGCCTGAAGGACTACTGATAAGGCACATGTAGACATAGAACTGAAAAATATAAGTTTCAAACAAGAGGCATTGATTAGCTGTCATACATGACCCCTAAATGGAGCAATTAAGTTACATATATAGTAATTATCCAGTGAACAACAAGTTTAGACTGGCAGCCTGTTCATTAATTTCAATACTGGAAGTATATCAAAGGAAGATTTACTTTCAAAAATATAAGTTTTTCAAAGTGTTCCATTGTTAGTCTTGATTGACTAAAGCTGATGCTTTCATTGGATGTACTGAATAATCTCTCTGATGGAACGATGCTTGGAGGACAACCTAGGAAACGAACAGCCAATTTTGACAATACTGGCCAAGAGGATTTCTTAAAATTCCAGTAAGTGAGGGGATCATAGTTATGCTCAAGCACTTCTTCTTCCAGATATAAAAGCACCATTTCCTGTGGCAACTTAGTCTTTTCTTTTGGAGGTTTTGCTTTTGTCATATCTTCCATTAGTGACCAAAGACTATTGTTCCCGTAAGAGATTTTAGATGATGAACCTTTACCACAACCATTGGAAACTGGTTTATCATCATCTGAGGTAGCATTTAGTATTTCTAGCTCCCTGATTAAGTCCTGTTTATACTGTTCTGCTTCTTCTTCTGTGAATAAGGAGGTCTTATAACGAGGGTCTAAAAGTGTAGCAAAAATGTATCTTGGATCATGGAGTATGGAGGATAATCTACTCACCATAGCTTCTTTTAAGGACTTTAGCATAGTATCTATGCCCATTGTTTCCTCAAACAGTAGTTCTATTTTCCGGTTTAGAATATGAATCATTGGAATTACTTGGCTTAAAGTGGACATATGTGTACTCATCTCTCTACTTGCAACTTCAAACGGTTTGAGTGCATGACAGACAGACTGCATCACTTCCCACTGATCACAGCTTATTAATTCCCTGAAACTACACTCTATAGACATTTCATCAATAGCTCTTTTCTGTTCAATTAGCCTTTCAAGCATATGAAATGATGTATTCCATTTTGATGGGACATCTTGGATTAGCTGATGCTGTGGCAAATGATATTCTTTCTGCAACTCTGCCAATTTCTCTTTTGCTTTGGATGAGCGATGGACACGTTCACATATCTTTCTGGCAATGCTAAGTAGGTTCTGAACCATCCTCTGGCTTTTAATAGCTTCATTCACTATGAGATTCAGTGTGTGACAGAAGCATTGCACACTTGAATGTTCCCCTTCATTTAAAGTTTTTCCTATTGTCTGATTATCTGTAACAGTAATCCCAATCTGTAGTCCAATTGAGGTTATCCAGGTTTCCCACCAATATTCTAGTTGCTTCTGAATGCTGATACCATTATAGTCACAATCAATCTGTGAAACATTTAATAAAGCTGAACAATGGTAATCTTCACACTGAGGCCGAACTCGTGACCCAAATGTTACCCAGTGAGCTGTGAGGGTTAGATATTCCCGAGTTTGATTGCTCATCCATATTCCAGAGGTAAAGTGGACTACACCACTTTCAACTTCTTTAAGATGTGAAACAATTATTTCTTTCACACTGTCATACATATCAGGGATCGCAGTATGAGAAAAATAAGATGGTGAAGGCAATGAATACTGAGGTTGCAAGTATTCAAGCAATCTATTAAAACCAATATTATCTACAAAAGAATATGGCTGAAGATCAAGTGCAATCATTTCAGCGACAAGACTTGTAATTTTTTTGGCAACAGGATGCGTGTCAGAAAACTTGTCAGTGGTTTCATCAAAAGATGAAGATCCCAAAAGATCTGTACTCAGAGGTACATGATTATTTGTAGAAGAGGACAATACTGGCTCTGAGGCATCTGGTTTTAGGACATGATTATGAAACCGTTGTAAATGTCTTAAAAGGCAACTGGTACCCAAATTGGTTGGCTTTTTCCCTCGACTTATTGTACGTCCACAGTGCATACATATTACTTTAGTTGAATCTGCAGAACAAATTGAAAAATGGTTCCACAGTTTTGAGGTCTTTTTGCTACTAACAGGAAATATGACTTGAGTTTCATTAGTAACCATTGTGGGCAAGTCAGTCAGTTTTGAAGCTGAACGTTCTGCAGAAGCCAAGGTAGCATAAGGAGAATTTGCTAAACTGACATCTATAAAGTTCTTTTGGATTCCTATAATTTCAGGATGCCGCCTGTATAAGTGTTTTGTCAAATAACTTGTGCCTAAATCACCTTTTTTCCCATGGTTTAATATACAGCTGCAGTGTCTACATATAACTTTTAGTTTATCCCCTGGAGACAAAGAAAAATGATTCCATACTTCAGCTTTCAGCTTTCGCATTATGCGTTTATTCTGATGAAAAACAGAGCCATGCTCCAATAACAATCGGCTTTTTTCAGGAGAAGAAACTAAAGACGCTTCCCCTATATCTTCGGATGATGAAAACAATGAGGAATCCTCCATCAGAGTATCTCCCAAAGGAAGATTGGAATTATTTTCTTCAGCTATTCTGTCTGGAGAAGAGCAAACAGATGTTGGTTCTTTAGCTAATTTTCCAGATGATACAGAACTTGGGTCTCCATCTGAAGCTAATAAAGGTGGTAATAAAGTTGGAGGAGCAGAGTACAGAGGGGGTATGGTCGAACCTCCTCCGTTCTCCTGTAGAACAATAGAACGATGAGCTCTCCACATGTGGCGTATTAAGCAGCTCGTTCCAAGATCTTTTCCATTCTTTCCTCTGCTGAATTCATTCATACAGTGAATGCAGACAGCTTTTGAGTTATCCAGAGGAGATAAATAAAAATGTTTCCATACAGCAGATCGTCTCCTTGAGCCAGATGTAGTCTTAGGAATTTGAACAGTTTTCTCTGCTATATTGTCCATTTCTTCATATTGACTGTTGGGCACATGTAGTGACAACCCAACACCAGCTTCTTCTTTAATGTTCTTTTCAGTATGTGACAAATCTGAAGGTATTTCTTCAATAGAAACTATAGGAACAGATTCCTCAATAATTTGATCTGGGGATGGAATCTTAGAACAAGTTTTCTTAATCAATTTTATAGGAGTTAGCACGTGAGTTAAATCTCCAGTATCTGCAGGCTGAGGTGGCAATAGTAATGTAGGAGATGAAGAAAAGGAAGATATAGCTGGTATATTTCCATTTTCCTGAATGAGTACAGTTGGATGAGCTCTCCTCACATGCCTCATTAGACAACTTGTGCTTAAGTCTTTCTCATTTTTACCTCTGCTAAATTCTTTCATACAGTACATACATATTGCTTTGGTACTGTCTCTAGGAGATATAAAGAAGTGGTTCCAAGCAGGGGACTTTTTTCGGGAGCTTATGTTTCTATTTGAAAGAAGACTCTGTGTTACAGCTTCCATTGCTACATCATAGAGAGTACTGCTATATTGGGAAAAAAGAGAACCATAATCATCCTCATTCTCTGCAGAGATGAATTTGTCTGAGTTGTTACGGACAAAATTTTTTTCTCTGTCATCCTGTTCATCACTGCTATCAATCTTTTCAGTTTTTATATCTATCGTTTCTAAAATACAATTACTATCATCTTCTGGTTCCACTTTTAAATTGTTGATTTTATCCATCATTAAATTATCGCTGATTTGTGGAGACTCTGCTATATTTGTATCCATGAGCTCAGTTATTTCTGCTGTGTATTCATATCTTAATGAAGATTTGGAATTCAAATTAAATTCATTTTAAACCATGTAAAAAGATAAAGGTAAAACAAAAGGTTGTGTTTTAGGCCCTGTTGTCTGACTCCCAGGATATTTAGATTTCCAGATTATATATCATTCTTTATAGTGCTGGATCTATATCCATTGTGTTGCAGGGTGGGAAGTCAAGAAGTAGTTGAGTATACATTCAGTTCTACCATCTGCTCCTATCATCTAGAAATAACAGAAATAAAGAAAGTTAAATGTCATACTTCCAAGTTTGATTTATTCCCTTAATAAGTACTAATCTGCTTATTTCTTTAGTTTTAAGCTAAAGGAAAATAAATAGCAACATTTTTTGAGACAAAATACTGGTATAATTTAAAAAAAACCTACACTGTAGTTATTTGCATCCACTGTCATTCATGGTGAGAATTCAAAGATCTAGTTTAGATTTTTCATGGGCAATTAAGAGTTCTATATTTATGAAAACATTATTTGGCCGTAATGTTTGAATCTGTAAATTTTTATAAAGGCCTGTCCTTATGGGATGATTTGGAAATTGCATTCAGAATGGTTTTCTATATCTATTTCTACATTCAACCACTAGATTACACATAAAAATATATGTTAGCTATATAAAACACAAATCACTCTGAATGTTGAACATATATTCAACAAATATAATAATAAGAATATGTTTATCACAGGCCCAAACTATCAGTAGCTGTTGATTTTGTAGAAAGGAAAGAGGAAATAGGAGGGACTATTGCAATGCTTGTTTGACTGAGATTTATTATTATTATTATTATTTTTCTCTTCCCAATCCCCTTCAGCAAAATCCAAACAAGAATACATGATATTTTCTGGTGGGCTGGATCCAAACCTTTGTGTAAATGTGTTTTTAAACCTCAATACAGACAAGGAACTGTGTACTAAGTTTACCTGACATGAAGCAAGCAGAAAGGTTATATTTCAGTTCCTACCTTCATCAATTTAGCTCCTGCCATCAGTAATCCCTATATTTTGCTAATGGTCTATTTATTATCTTTAGTTTCCAAAATGCTGACTTTGATGTAACACATTATGGATCAAAGATAAAAAGTGAAAAAGATATGCTTTCTTCTCAAGTAAGAGATTAAGGAACAAATAAAGCTGCAAAATACAGCTAGCTGAAATAAATTAGAGGAATTTACCTCTCATTATGACTTGTAAATGTTTTACTCTATTCAACAATGCTTATCATATTATTTCACCCACCTCGTAGGTTTCATCCATCTAATTAGACCTCATATGAACTAGAAGACAAAGTAATTTTCACACTTTACTGAAAAAAGAGATCAGCATTTTCTTCAAACCTGCAAAAAGACAAATAGCATTTACGTTACTATTTTTTCATGTCTCTTTATTACTACCCTTTGTAGAAAAAGCTTTTGATGGAGGCATCTCTCACTAGGCAATAATGATTTAGCCGTTTCAGATGTAATGGTAACCATCTTCTTTAAATGCTAGAATATCAGACTCCCTTTTTCACTTTCTGAACCCTATGGTTATTTAATTATGAAAATATCAATTTGCAATTTGATAACCTTGATTGTAAAAACATGCACAGCTTATAATCCTCCAAATCTGGACAACAAAGAAATTGTGCTTAAAAATGCTACAATTAAAATCTCCATTCATGCATTCTGTGTAGGGAAAAAACACACACAACAAAATACTGGATTCTCATCACAAGTAATGATTTATTGCAATTCTAAAGGTGGCCTACATATTACTAATTAGCAATTTGAATATAAAACTGAGTAATTACATTTGAGTCAAAAAAGGAGCTCAATGTTCTACCTATCTATCATGGTAGAACATTTAAGAAACTTCTAATAAAGGCTGACTTACAAGAAACTGATTTCTTATGATACTGGAACAATTAAAATTCTCTAAGCATTTTGTCAAGCTACTAAAGTCAAAAACAGCATTGTTACAACAGTTATTTATTCAAGACTATATTCTGATTTGGGCCAATTTTAAAAGGATAGTTTTAATCAGTTTCCCTATGCACCTGTGTTAGCGGAGTCTTGATGTTTTGATCAAATTATACTGGGAATTACATCATCCATTCTATTTCTGAAACCAATATAAAATGCCAGACTTGTTCTTTTAATACTTTTATTAACCAAGATATATTATCCTTCCTGCTGTGAATCAATTGCCCATTTAATTTATGGAATATCATGATGCAAAATAACCTGTAATATACTAGCCAAAGCATATTCTTATTCTCAATTATAACTGCTTGGTTCATGTACCAAGATTTTCTTCTGACTTTGGTAATTTTTCTTTTCTGAATAGGGTGTCTAATGATGTTATGGCTTTATAGTCTGCATGAGAGACTACAATAGGAATAATAATAATAATAACAACAACAACTAAAGGTAACAGTAATTATTATTTCAAGTGAAAATATATGTAATAGATGAAAACATTATTGGAAGAATACTTATATAGCAAATAATTTATCCTAGTCTTCATTATACACCTGAATAAGGGAGCAATAAAAATATTTTAACATAAAACTACTAAACACATTTTAAGAAACTTTAAACAAGGTATTTCCTCTTGCTATCTAGCCATATTTTTCATAGAAGAAAAATACAACTTTTATGCAATTATTTCACTTTAGATTTTGGGCTTCAAAATACAGATACTCAAAAATCATAGCTTTTCTTGTTTTTCATTGCTATGCTAAAATTCCTATAGCTACATTCAGATAAGTCATGGTTCATTATAAAAGGATAGAGAGTTTCTGCACTCTAGGACCTAAGGTCATAAATTTAGAGTTTCAGATTTTCTATTTTTTAAATTAATGATAGCTTGTTATATTTTCCAAATCTGACGAGCTGTTTCCAGTCTTACGCATTTTTTGAATTAAACCCAACTTTTAATGTTTTATCTATGTCAGGTCTGTCAAACTGGCGGACCTGCAGGCCAGATGTGTCACATGCAGGCCACACCCACCCTGGCTCCGCAAAGATGAAAAAGTTGTGATACGTTACGATACGTGAGTTTGACACACATGATCTATGTGTATAACTTGCTACATTTATATCCTATAGCAAGAGCTCAAGGTGATAAAAATGTTTAAAAATGGTAAAAGGTTTGAGTTTTGAAAGTTTGACCTATGATATTTAAATAAAAGGTTCAGGTATTTTTGTCATTTTTGCATTAGTAGAGAAGAGAAACATATGAGCTCAGAGCTAATATTATATATGGCTTTTACCACTACCTTATAGTAATTTAAGATAATTAAGAAGTAAATGCATTCTTAGCTTAATATAAATTTCAATATACCAAATATTTTAGAGTACCGGTATACAAAGTTATTATCCATTTTTGTAAAAATATACAAAGAATAAAAAGTTCATCTGCAAATTAAATCCATTATGGTAGTTGTATTGACCATAGATGCAAAATAGATATGTAACTGGGAAATTATTTTCTTAGAACAGTTGCATTAGTTGTTTCTGAAGTTGGTTTAAAAATACTGTATGTATAAAAGCAAAGTTACAGATTTATTTTCTGAATTAATATTTACCTTTTTCAATAACTCCCCCCTTTTTAAAATAAGACAATTTAGGCAGTTTCTCTATATAGGTAGTCCTTGATTTCCAACCACAATTGAGCCCAACACTCATGTTGCTAAGTAAGGTATTTGTTAAGTGTGTTTTGCCCCATTTTACAAACTTTCTTGCCACATTTNAGAGAGACCCGTTGGCTCCGCCCACAAAGCGCGCGCGGCGTCTCTCTTGCCGTTTGCGTCGGCGTCGTCCGCGGGGCTGGGAGGTGCCTGGCGTCCTCACGTCCTGCTCCTCCTCCTCCTAACTCCCCCCCCCAGCGCGCTCGCTCGCTCTCGCCCTCCCTCCCCTCCCCCGCCGGCGCGAGCGCTGTGGTGAAGCCGCCGCATTGTTTGTGCCGAGGGGGGGAGGAGGAGGGGAAGATTCTCGGCCACGGGCGCCTCCGCACCCAACCCGCAGCCGGACTGCGGCCCTTGACGACGCGCTCCGCCTCCTCCCGCCCCGAATGCGTCGCTGCAGCCGGATCCATCAACCACCACCACCCCCTCCGCCGCCGCCGCCGCAACCGGGAACCCGCGGGGCGGCCGCGACGGCGCGGGTTACCGCTGCCGCCTCGGTTCCCGTTCCGCCGGACGCGAACAGCCGGAGGAGCGCCTCCGCCATTAGTCCAGACCCAGCTCGGTGTCTCGAGTAAAAAAGGAGGGCCTGTCAGCCGCGTCCTTGCGGCTCCCTCAGGTGAGCGCTGGAGAGCTCAGGAGGGAGGGGGAAGCGACTCTGTCGCGGCCTCTCGAGTCGGGCTCCGCCGGGCCGAGAGCTGCGGAGGCAGGATAGCATTGGGCGGGCGCCATGTTTGCGGCCCGAGTATTGTCCCGGCAGGGGTGGGGGAAAGCGGGCGACGGAAGGGAAGGGCGCGCCGGGAGGCCGTTCGCGCTGTGGAAGGAGGCTGGAGAAAGAGTTGCTAGGCCTGGTGCGGAAGGAACCATTCTGGGAGTGCGAGGGGAGGACGTCGACGGCGTGGGGGAGGGGAGCCAGTGGGGTCTGGGCAGGAACCATCGGCGCGGAGGCGGGGTGTGGGAGGGGAAAAGAGGCGTGCTCCGGAGCCATTCAGCGTTTGTGTTTATGTCACGATGGGCGCGGACGGGGGCGGGGAGAAACCAATGTTTGGGGCTGGGGGGATGACTCGTGTGGGGCGAACCATTCTGAGAGAGGAAGCTTCATGGCCTCTTCATGTTCTTGTCTTCTTCCCCATACAAGGAATGCAGTGGCTGGGAAACTGGGGAGAAATTGCTCTGTGAACCTGGTTTCAGGCTTTCGGATCAATTGTCTTCCTGGAAAGGGTTAGGTTTGATGACGTCAGGAGGGGGGAGGATTAATTTCTGTGAAGATCACTTTCACTTTTTGGGTGGAATGCAGTTTTCCCTTCCCTTGACTTGGTTACTCTGCCACAGTAGGTTCTGACGACCACCTGGGTCATAGATTTGAGCATAAAAGTGTAAAAGGATTAGGATGCTGGAGTTACTAAGAGTACCATGAATACAATAGAATAGGAATTGATTGAATTCTTTATTGTATTGGCCAAGTGTGATTGCCACAATTTTTTTTTCTTTGGTGCATATGCTCTCAGTGTACATAAAAAGACAAGATACATTCATCAAGAATCATAAGATACAACACTTAATGATAGACATAGGGTACAAATAAGCAATCAGGAAACAATATCAATTGTAAGGATACAGGCAACAAAGTTACAGTCCTGCAGTCATAAG